CCGCCCGGATTATTTATTATTAGGGTAGGGGGGGGGGGGACGTCGTTTATTATTAGGGGGAAGGGATTAATAGGATCTCCCCCAAACCCTGAACCCTAAACAATAAATCTCGCAACTTCTTTTCAGTTCCTTAACAGCAACCCAGTTACCCTAAGGTTTTAGGGCCCAAATACCATTAATAATATCGTATTGCAGCCCTAAAACCCTATTGTTTGGGTCCTTGCACCCCTAAACCCTAAACCCTATATATCCCCATATAGCCCCTTTAAAGGGACCCTGTTATTTGGGTCCTTGGACCCTTAGGGTAACTGGGTTTAGGGGATATGCAAATCAAGTTCACCAGATCTCTCTGGCTAACGTTACCCCCTAAGGGTCCAAGGACCCAAATAGTGGGGGTTTAGGGCCCCAATACCATACTATTAATGGTATTTGGGTCCTCATACTCTATTATTTGGGTCCTTGGACCCTCAGGGATGAACTTGGTGAAGCCAACTCACAAGGGCTCCTATGTAGTGCCTTGTTGGGTTTAGGCTTTAGGGCTTAGGGTATAGGGTTTAAATTTAGGGCTTAAGGTTTAAGATTTAGGGTTTAGGGCTTAGGTTTTGTTGGTCAGGCGTTCCAGTATACTACACAAGAAGGAACTGCATAGGACCTCCACTCCTCGTGCCGCAGGCAAGGGTGCAGAGTCACTAGATCCCTACAGCGCTTTCACACGTACTTCCCGAGCGCCACTGACTACCGCTGCCAACCCTCCCTGGCACTTAGGAAGGTCTCGAACAGTTTCAGCGTCGTGTTGCGGCCTCCTGTCGCTTGTAACCTGGCGGAATCATGAATCCGAAGTAACATGTAGCAAGCTCTCTGCGGAATGTAGATACTGTGAGGGGTGAAGATATGGCGGCCATCCCCGTTCTCGTCAAACGCACGCAGATCACCTCTCGAGGGCAATCTGGATGACCTCAAATTGGCACCCCATGCTTTTTTGATGCCCCTCACGCTGAAGCTTCAGCTTTCTGGCAGCTTCTCCAGGGTAAAACCTAAACCCTAAAGGCTGTTTAGGGTTCCGGGCTTAGGCCCTGGGTCTCCGATCCCGTGCACCTTGGAACTAAGCCCTAGATCCTAAACCTCACGCACCCAAGCTGGATTTTTTTCTTGGATACTATGACAGATTCAATCTCATCTTCCGCTGTAGAGCTTTAGTAGAACAACAACTACGTCCAACAATAACCCAGCCACCTTGTTGGTACCATAGGCCCTACACCCCAAACCCCAAGACTTTACAACCCTAAACCCCAAACCCTTCACCTAAAATTTTCCATCCTAGACCCTAAAGCCCTTAACCCAACATCCTAGACCCTAAAGCCCTTAACCCAAAATCCTAGACCCCAGAACCCTAAAACCCAAAATCCTAGACCCCAGAACCCTAAAACCTAAATCCTAGACCCTAGAACCCTAGAGCCTAAATCCTACACCCTAAAGCCCTAAGCCCTGAACTCGGCCTTCCTGCTTCGTCAGGGCGATGCCGGTTCGACCCACCGCTGGAATGAGCCGAAGGACGCCCACGTAAAAGTTGAGGGTTTAGGAGTTAGCGGTTTAGGGTAAAGATTTAGGGTTTAGGATTTAGGGGTTTGGGGTCAGGATTTTAAAGCTTTGGGGTTCAGGACTTTGGGGTTTCAAGGTTTGAGAGCCTTAGGGCTTTAGGGCGCATGGACTACCCTATTGTAGCGTTTAGGGTTTAGGGTTTGAGGCTTAGGGCTTACCTAGTAGGGCTTAGGGCAAAAACCATCCAGGTTCTCCCAGTCAAGTGCAGTTGTGGTGGTGCGCAGCTGTAGGAGTCCAGGCCGAAACTGGCAGGAGCCCAAATTCCCTAAACCCATATGATGAATAGGGTTTAGGGTTTAGGGTTCCATTTCTAGGGTTTAGGGTTTAGGGTTCCATTTCTAGGGTTTGGGGTTTAGGGTTCTATTTCATGAGCCCCAAAAATCATCAAATCCAAGCCCTGAATAGTAGCTTCCATTGCATGTATGTTCATTTTATGTTCCATTTGCTTGTCCGTTTGTTTCCCCAGTACTGGGATAACATCCATGAACCTTGTAAATTGGGGTCTCGAGGTAGGATGCATCGGTTCTGGGTTTTGGAGTCAGGTTGTAGCATCTTGGTCTGTGATTGGCTCTGGGCGCTCCAAATTCGGATATTGAATTTGGCTTTAGGCCCTAAACCCTGAACCCTAAACCCTAAACTGGGTTTAGGCTTGTGGGTTCTAGGTCGAATTCGTGGAGTTCTGTGTCTGCTTGGAGGGTCAGGCGGACTTAGTAGTTGCTGCTTCGTTAATTCGGAAAGCTCGTGTTAGGTTTAGCTTACTAGGGTTTAGGTTTTAGGGTTTAGGGTTGAGGGTTCAGGGTTCAGGGGTTCAGGGCAGGGAGGGGTACTTGTATGTATACCTCCTCCCCATATCCTTTGAATCATAGCAGGGGGGAGGGGGGGGAAGGCTTCGGAGGTAGAGCCTCAAGCTTTTGGCACCTAGCCTTTGTCCCAAAGATAACTTGTGGCTTCACCTAAACCCTAAACCCTAAACCTTAATCCCAAACCCAACTAACCCCACTTCAGGATCCAAGACTGCGGCTTAGGAATGCAAAAAGGGTTTAGGGTTTACGGCTTAAACTTAGGAATGCAAAAAAAAGGCTTGTGTGTGGGAATTTGAATCAAAGAGTTGGAAGGAAGTACAGCCCTTTCAGCAGATAAGTGGGTTTAGGGCTTAGGGTTTAGGGTTCAGGGTTTAGGGTCTCGGGTTTAGGTGACGCAGCTACCCATCAAAAAAATATCATGGAACCCCAAAAAGCCATCTAAAGACGATATTCCCGTAAGAATGGGTCTGTATGCGCTGTAGTCTAAACTCCCGGTATCCACCTGAATAACCCCTACCATGCTACCCTATAAAATCCCCTTCATAACCTCCTTTAAGGAGTTTAGACTATAGCTCATATGGGGTTCCATGTTAGCTTGGCGGCAAAAAGTCAGGTTCAGAAGTTTAGGGCTTGGGTTATTGGTGGGTTTAGGATTTAGAGCAAGTTTTCCCATCTTCCATCAACTGTAGAGACACAAAAATCATTAGGGTGTACTGGCCGAAACAAATACTAACAAGGGAAAGCCAAATGGAAAATGAAAAGCTAGATGAAATGGAACCTGGGCTTATGTGACGGTTTCTAGGGACCATTACCAATACAACTTTGGTATAGGGTATCTACATTACATAATCGTCTTACCCCTATGGAACCCCAAATTCCTTGGTCCTACACTGCCCTAAATCCGAACCCCTTCTACTGAGGTGGGGCAGTGCTACCCTAAACCCTAAACCCTAAACCCTAAATCCTAAACCCTAATCCTAAACCCAAATCCTCAATCCTAAACCCTTATCATCTTTCTCAGCGAGTCATAGGCTCAAATCTTTCTATCGATCTACATATAGAGGTTAGGGTCTAGGGAGGCTGGGGCTATACACATAGATACATCGGCGATTTAGGGTTTAGGGTTTAAGGGTTTAAGGGTTTAGGGTTTAGGGTTTAAGGGTTTAGGGTTCAGGGCTTAGGGTTGGGTGGCCACATTTTTTTGGCCATACTTTTTCCCACGCTTGGAAATTTCAGTGCAAATCTTGCAATATCCGTAGCCCTCCAAGCAGGGTCCAGAACAAAACAGCGGTGATCCAGCATATGATCTCGCAGGCTATCGCGGAGCAGGATTCACACACCTTTGGTATCTCCCATGATGATCCATACTGTTC